CAGTTTTGGGCCATATGTTCAACTAAAGCCAAAACAATCAGAAGTTACTTTTAATCATTCCACATTATTACTGCCTTGATTACAACGTCTCCATTTCATATGTGGTAAAAGCCACATAAAGCAGGCTGCATATATAAGTATATATTAGGAGAGAGGCTTTTAATGGAATAACCAATGAATGGGAAGAGACACAGATTTCCCTGTGCCCTCCTAATTGACCATGCAGACAGCACGTCTTGATCTTCAACTTGAATTAATTCCCCTTTATTTCCTATTCCAACAAGCAATAACAGGCCCAAAGCCAGGCAGGGCAGAGGGAACAGCAGGGGGAGAGGCTGAAAACTGCAGGGTAACTCCTGGTGTTCTCTGGGCTTGACTCCTCCTCCAGAGCAGAGGGAGCACAGGGGGAATACCGGGGTGAAACCTGCAGGAACTTGTCTGTGACCACGAACAAGGAGAGCAGTGGGGACCAGCAGCCCCTGGGCTGCTCCTGATGGGCACCGGGCACGGCCACGCTCAGGTTTGGGGAAACCACCCCCTGCTTTGCTGCCTACTTACATTTCTCCTCCTGCCTGGGCTTTGTCTCTGCCTGAGGATGATGCAGTGGGGCAGAGGTAGCCAGGAAATCCCTGCCACATCCACCTTGCTCTCCAGCAGGGATGGGGGGGAAGATGTCTTGACCACACAGCAAAGTGGCAATCCAGAGGTCTGCCTCTGGATTCATCAGCAGATGAATGAACAAATTAATTAGCAGATGAATTGTGGAGATCCAAGTGACAGGAGTGAAAGGCATTTATAGATTTACTCCCAAGCACAACTAATATTTGGCACTGTGAACCCCTATTATCCCTTCTCGCTGCTCTCCAGTTTTGGGGCAGCCTGGACTGACCACACAGGTTCATCTGCAGCTTCTTTTCCACCTTCTTACAATAAAGAACATTCCCCCAAATGTTTAATCAGCTGATGATATGCAAGAAAACAACTCCCCATAAAACCTGAGCTTTTTCATCAGTGCCCAGGTAAAGGTTGAGGTAAGAAAAGGAAATAAGCAGACAAGCAGCAGCAATTTCAGAAAATTTTGGGAGCACCACTGACCACACTAAGTAAAAGTGAAATGTGCACTAAAAGCTACAAAATTCTTCACTGTGTGTGTGGTGAGGGACAGGTTGTCCCATCCCTGGAAGTGTTCAAGGCCAAGTTGGACAGGGTTTGGAGCAACCTGGGCTAGTGGAAGGTGTCCCTGACCATGGCAGGGGGTGGAACGAGATGAGCTTTGAGGTCCTTTCTGACCCAAACTGTTCTGGGATTCCATGAAAACGTCTCACCTTGTTCTCACATCTCCCCACATCTATAATAATAAATAAACTGGTATAATAATAAAGTAGCTGGTACAGATCTGCAGACTGAGTCAGGTCAGAACTATGAACCCAGGACTCATCTTTGGAGGTTTCACCCCAAAACGGAGAAGGTGAATTGCAATCACAAACTCCACAGCCCTTACAGCTGGTTATTTGCCCATACAAAATTCTTTCCAAAAAATCCTATTGGGTAATTTAAAATAGCCTGAAATAAATCTCCAGTTGCACCAACCTCCAAAATCTTGGGAACAGCCCCAGCACGCCCAAGGCTCGCTCCTCATTCCTAGTCAAAACCAGAGAGATTTAGGCACATTTTTAAAAGATAAAGCTGGCACAGACCACCACTGCCCTCTCCTGCAGCCCAGCCCCAGTGTGACATCATCTCCAGGGGATATTATGGAAACCAGTAGTTTCCTAATTAAAACACACACGACCTCCCCCCACCCCCAAATACCTTGTGCCTTTGATAATCCTCCTCCTCAAGCCCATCCAACTGTTCCCCTGCAGACCTGGCTTATGGCACAAGGTTTTCCCAACAGCCCTTTGGACCTGCACATCCAAAGTTTCCAGTTTTGAAAACTTTAGCTCTTAATGTGCATTTAAAAAAAAAAAACCAACACATTGCTTAAATCCTAGTTTAAACATCAGTAAACAACCACCGGATTTATGGTGTATTGGGGGGGGGTTGCTGTGGGTGTTGGGGTTTTCTTTTACATAATCACACACAGACAAAGCAAATGATCAAAAGGCTGCAAAATCCTCATTTTGCAACAACGGGAGGAGTTTAATCCAGAAAATAAAAACTGTGGCTATGTGTCCCCATCAATGTTGCCACATATTTTTTATTTCCCCTTGAGTAATCCACTGCAGAAGTCGGATTTTACCAACAAGTGCATTCGTAACATCCTCCGTGAAAATTTTAAAAATTCCTACCATCTGAACACTTCCAAGTCATACTAAGAGTGGATTTCAACACTTGATTTTTAAACTGGAAATGACTCATTGCCATATCTTTAAAAATTAGTAACACTTGTAACCTCTAGCAAGTAATGTATTAATTACTGATCACCTGCAACTTTATCTGGAATATTCAGGCAAACTTACACTACCAGAAATGCAGCTTTACACAATGCCCTGGAGATACAGGTAAATAAATAATCAACACAGCCACAAGAATAATTAAAAACAGGGTTTCTGCAATGCAGAAAACTGCTTCAACCAGGGTGCAGGAACAAGACGTGAATAACTAGCACAGAAGAGTCATTTCAAAATCTGATTTCCCTCCTGTTTGGAACAACCCCCCAGTCCCCTCAGATTTCCAAATCAAAGCAGAATGCTCAATGCTCCATGTCTCACCAGTGTGGCTCCAGGGCAATTCCTGCATTGGGAAACCTTGGGAGCACCAGCCCTTGGGCAGCCCCAGCTCTAGGGCACCCTGCCCAGTGAGCAGCCAGGAACTGAGGTTTTCCCTGCAACCAGCCAAAATCCAAGTGAGCTCTGGACAGAAAATTGTTTCAGAGTGGGTGGAATGTCACCAAAATCAAGAACAGTGTCTCAGTCATGATCTGTACATCAGAAAACACTAATAAAATCTGATTAGCTATGAAAAAACCTGATACATTTGGATATCCAAAACAACTGACAAAGCACCAATTAACCTTCCCAGCATCAGGATTGCAGTAGTGATAAAATTAACCCTGCCTGAACATTCCAGAAAGAGAGCATCCATCTCATAAGCACCCACCTTTGAGCAGGGAAAACAGGACCATCCCAAAGTGCCACTGGGCTGGACACTCCCACCTACAGCTGTAGCCCTGGGCAGGAAGCTCCTTCCTGGATGGAATGGTAACAGCATTGCCAGGAGTGATCCACAGGCAGAAAAATCCCGAGCTCTTCACCACCCCAGGAGAGGGAAGATAAACCAGGGCAAACCAGGAGGGCTTTCAATAGGTCCTGCTGCTCATCCAACACATTTTTCTACCAAAAGTTTTCCATGAAAATGTCAACTGGCTAAAGGAAGGAATAGTTTAGTTGAAGACAAACCACCACCTACCTCAGAAACAACTGTGGGGGGCTTTCAGGAGGATACAGGATTCCATTCCCTCTCCTGGCTGGCCAGGGCTCAGCTCAGTTCCAAGGGACTGCCACATCCCTTGGGATGACTGATCCCCTCTCCCTTCCCCTCAACGTTCAGCTCCACCCAGTGCAAAATGGGACATTCTGAAGTTTCAAGAAGTTGTAAAATTGAAAGAAAATAATCTACACTTCAGCTGGGGAAGGCTCCCTACACCTCATGGAAGTGCTACATGGAAATCTTTGGAGTTTCCAAGGGTAGGATTTACACCTGAGGAAAAACAAAACCCACACACACACCTTAAACCAACTTTGTGACTTTTATTGATGGGCGACAACTTTATACTTCTAGATATCACTAAACTGTGTACAATTAGGAACTCAACATTATAGGAGAGCAGACAGCAAAATTAAACAAAGCAGACTTAAAGAAATATCAATCTTAATTATTTTGCCCATTTTCTTAATTTCATGTACACAGAAGCATAAATGCAGTTTGAAATTTCTTAATAGCAATAAAGTTACAATCACCCATCTATATAGACTAACATCTTAACTCCAAATATTTGATCTGCAATGTGTACTTAAGCAGTTTCTCATCGCACAATTATTAAAATGTGTCTTCTTATCAGGAACCAGCAACTCTGCAGTTTGTACATGTTTTGAAGCACAAAGGACCATTTCCATCTCATACACATCGGCTCATATTTTACCACTTATCAAAAAACTATTGGGGAAAGCAGAGAGAGCTTTTTTATTTTTATATTTTTTTTTTTAAATTTTTTTAATTTTTTTTTTTTTTTTACTGAAGTAAAGATAAAACATTTTCACAGAAATCTACAAGTTCTGTTGCTGGTGCAGGGTTTTCTTCTACTACGCATTTAGAAAGTGGGAATTAAATGTCAATCCCTTTATTATCTTAGGATTCAGCATGAACTCAAGATTAATTTTTGTTTCGTATTATTTTTTTTTTGTGTGTGATTCACAAGACTCGAGTCTTCCAACCAAGCGACTTCATTCTGGCAAAAAAGTCAACACAAGCTACGTCGCGCACAAACCCGCGGTCGTTTCCTTTATCACTCTTAAAGTTGCGAGGCGGGGCGGGGTGGAAAAAAAGGAGGGAATTGAAAAAGAGGCGGGGAGGGGTGGAAAAAAAGGAGGGAATTGAAAAAACAAACAAACAAACAAAAGGAAAAATTAAAAAAAAAAAAAAAAAAAGGAAAAGAAAAAAGGGAAAGAAAAAAGAAAAGAAAAAAGGAAAGGAAAGGAAAAGAGAAAAGAAAAAGGAAAAGAAAAAAAAGGAAAAGAAAAAAAGGAAAAGAAAAAAAGGAAAAGAAAAAAAGGAAAAGAAAAAAAAGGAAAAGAAAAAAAAGGAAAAGAAAAAAAAGGAAAAGAAAAAAAAGGAAAAGAAAAAAAGGAAAAGAAAAAAAGGAAAAGAAAAAAAGGAAAAGAAAAAAAGGAAAAGAAAAAAAGGAAAAGAAAAAAAGGAAAAGAAAAAAAGGAAAAGAAAAAAGGAAAAGAAAAAAGGAAAAGAAAAAAGGAAAAGAAAAAAGGAAAAGAAAAAAAGGAAAAGAAAAAAAGGAAAAGAAAAGAAAAAAAAAAAGAAAAAATATATTCACTCAGAAGAGCATTTAGAGGAGAGGGAATCAGTGATAGTTGGCGTCCTAGGGAGCAGGGTGCTGCAGGCAGGGTCACAGCAGGTCCACGCGGCGGTAGTACAGGAGGTAGGCTGTGCGTTCCGCAGTCGGCTTCACCACCTGGTACTGATGGATCACCTTCACGGCCTGGTCGTCGATGCGCAACCAGCCGTTGAGCCCGATTTGGAAGACGTCCGTGGTGTAGTGGCCGCCCGTGGCGCTGTTCCCGTGGTGATACACAACTGCGGGGAGACAGGAGTGAGGCACGAGGGCACCACACACACACACAGAGCCGGGGAAACGGGGGATCAAAGGGACCCACACAGATCACAAAACTCTTAAGTGAAGGATTGAACCCACGACCTTGGCATTATTCCTGGAGCAGGTCCAGAGGAGAGCAACTAGGCTGGTGAAGGGACTGGAGCACAAGTCCTGTGAGGAGAGGCTGGGGCTGTTCAGTCTGGAGAAGAGGAGGTTCAGGGGAGACCTCATCACTCTCTACAACTCCCTGAAAGGAGGTTGTAGCCAGGTGGGGGTTGGTCTCTTTTTCCAAGCAACTATCAGCAAGACAAGAAGGCATGGTCTTAAGCTGTGCCAGGGGAGGTTTAGGTTAGATATCAGAAAGAATTTCTTTACAGAGAGGGTGATCAGACATTGGAATAGGTTGCCCAGGGAAGTGGCAGATTATCCATCCCTGGAGGTTTTTAAGACAAGACTGGATGTGGCATCAGTGCCATGGGCTGGGAACCACAGCGGGGTTGGATCAAGGGTTGGACTTGATTATCTCAGAGGTCCCTTCCAACCCAGCTGATTCTATGATCCTATGATTATTAGCACCATGTTCTGACCAACGGAGTCAACCCACTGCCCCTCACTGTTTTCTCCAGACGGGATGATCTGGCTTAGGCAACAATCTTGAAGTATTTTTTAGTTCTTGCTTACCTTTGATTCTGTGTAGAATCACTGCATGGTTTGTGTTGGAAGGGACCTTAAAGCTCATCTCATTCCACTCCCTGCCATGGGCAGGGACACCTTCTGCTAGACCAGGTTGCTCCAAGCCCCGTCCAACCTGGCCTTGGACATTTCATAGAATCATAGAATCAGCCAGGTTGGAAAAGACCTCTGAGATCAAGTCCAACCCTTGATCCACTACCACCATAGTTACCAGACCACAGCACTCAGTGCCACATCCAGTCTCATCTTAAAAACCCCCAGGGACAGAAAATCCACCACTTTCCTGGGCAGCCCATTCCAATGCCTGACTACCCTCTCTGTACCTCTACCTCCCCTGGCAGAGCTTAAGACCATGCCCATCCAGGGATGGGGTAGCCACAGCTTCTCTGAGAATTCCATCCCAGCCCCTCACCATCCTCACAGGGAAGAATTCCCTTCCAGTATCTAATCCAACCTTGCCCTCTGTCAGTGTGAAGCCATTCCCCCTTGCCCTATCACTCCAGCCCCTTGTCAAGAGTAATATTCGTCACGCTTCTCCAGCAGAGCAAATCTCATCATTCTAAACAAAGGGTTAAGTGAATTAAGAATCAAAAGCATCAAATTGCTTTTTATAACTTCCCAGAGGGTTTTCTGGAAAGGATTTGCCTCGCAAAGGCCATGTGCAATGTGTGCAGCACACCCTGCAGAGCCTTCCAACAGGCACTGCCACACTTGGGGGGATAATCTATACATTCACTCTGCTGACCAAAACACTATTCTATTGAAACTGTTTGCAAATAAAAACCTCTCTAAAGGCCTATTGAAAAAATCAAGTCAAACTATGTAGTGATCTATTTAAAAAAAATAAAAATCAGGGCACACTTTTCTAACTGGCTCATATTTGTCATCAGTGCAGTTATCCCCCTCCAACCATGGCTTTCATTTTCACTGTAATATTATTCTGAAAAAAAAAGGTCTAGGAAAGAACCAATCTACAAGTTTCATATTTATTAGTTCTCAGTAACCTCCTTAACAAACCTGTGCACTGAACATCTCTGATTAACTGCTAATTCCAAGAGAGACTCAAACTGCCTTCTTTCCTTAAATGTCTCTTTTCTGCAAAAGGCACAATACTCTTCTTCTATATATGTGAGGGAATTTAGCAAGTAATTCTTTTACATTAGCCTAAGCCTGAATTATTTTCTAAACTTTATTGTTCGACAGGTAGGGAAATTCTGGATGATATCTGAAACTTAATTCTTCAAAAGCTTATTTTGATAATTCAAACTTCATCCAACAAGCTGTTTCTGTGGATGAGAATGCTGGCAGAAGGCTGAAATATTGCACTTTTCCACAGAAAGAGTTAGAAAAAAATCACAGTGGTAACTCAAGTCACCTTAAATCTGCTGCCTAAACTTGTCCCATGAAAATCACTATGGATAAAAACAACTGCACTGCCAGAACCAGTCCTGAATTTCCACAAGGGACAGGGATGTTCTTCCCTTCTGTAACCTCAGTGGTCACAACTCCAAGTCACACAAGGCCACCAGTACTGGCACAGATTTGGTGACACAGAAGTTGGGGTTCAAGGGGATGCAAAGCCAGCATTCAAACAGCCTTTTCCAAAGGCATTTGAAACATTATTCTGAGAATCTGTGCTGTATTTTAGTTTCAGCTTCTGCTGGTATTTGTCAAGGCGGATCTGCTACAAAACTTTTTGCAAAGTTGGATCAGTGAGATCCATAAATACAGATATAACAATATACATGTATATACACATGCAAAAACCCTATTAAATGCAAGAATTTGACACCCACAAGCTACTTCAGTATAATTTAAAAGAAAATACTTTCTCTAATCCAGGGAACTCCAGTGTTTCTCCAATTCCATAGGAAGATTTTGCATTTGCAACACAGGGACCAGAGGCACAGAGATTAAATACCTGCAAAGAGCCGGTAGGTTCTTTGGCCTTTAAAAATTTTACTTTTCACACCAGGAGATAGTAGCTCTGGAGGAGGAAAACAAAGGCAAAAAGGCAACAGTTAGAAAATTTCAAAATTTAATTTCAAGAGGATCAATTACTTCTCAGAGAAACCAACACTAGCATAAGGGAGAAAGCTGAATTGAGATTTCTTCTGCAGCCTTTAAAGAATGATCATGGTTCTGATAACTCCTAATCAAAAGACTGAATTTTCAGGTTTGCTGAACACTGTAGTTTATGGAAGGTTTAAAAATACTACCAAAAATGAAGGAAAAAAAACCAACAGAGCAAAAGATCAGATTCTACATTTTTTCCCTTTCATTCCTGCTGTCAGGCATGACAAGGTTGCATTTTCTATAAAACACCAGTTTCCTTCCATCAGCCACTAATTATTTAAATAATTTGCCACTTCTCTGAATTAAATCTGTGATAAAAATATCCAGGATTACTTGGCAACAGCCTTGTAGAGGGACACAGCCCTCATTCAAGAGGATCACTTCCCATTATTGTCCTCAGCAGTCTATAATTACTCCATATTTACTCCAGCCTATAACCCTATTCCATAAATCCACAGGAAGCTCTCTTTTGGTCAACCCATTGTCTAGGAAGTGCCAAAGGTTTTAAAATCTTTCATCATAATGTTCTTTGCAAAACAGATGCTCAAACTCTTACATAGGTAATGTCAGGTTCACCAAGACTGAATTCAGAAACCCAAATGTGTTCTTTTTAAGAAGAAAAAAAAAGGAAAAAACATACCAAATATTCATTCAAATTACTGAATTTTCAAACAACAATGAAAATAAAAAAAAGAAATAAAATACAAACACAGATACCCTGAGGAAACACTATGTTATTTTTTCTCTAAAGAGGGGAAATTCTGTTCAAAAATCTTTACCTTTACTAATTTCCAGATCAACAGGATACTCAATATTCTTGATAAGCTTCTGACACCCCCCAGTCTTCTCGTACACGAACCGCTTGAGGTGCAGAACAAGAACAGGGGGCAGCTCTTCCAGTGTGACTCTTCTGCTGATCTCCACCTGCCACACACAGAGACAAAGAACACCTGTAATTTCTTGTTAACTGCTCCAAATCACTCCTTCAAAGGAGGAATAACTGTTTAACTTTAAATACACTTGTAAAAAAAAAAAACAACAGATTTGTTATTGTTAATTAATTTATGAGAAGGACTTCAGGTTATGACTTAAAGCCCACTGGATCTTCAACTAAAGTGGTGTCTTAAAGGACAACTTAGTATTTTCAAAGAGAAAAATATGAGTTATGACCACACTTTTCTCTACCAAACAGTGATTTTTGTGGATTGTTTGGTTATAATTATATGAAGTTGCTGTCTGAAAAGCTGAAACTGAGCTCAGAATTGCAGAACAAAAATGTTTTGCCTTCCTAGAAATTAAGACATAAAAACACTTCTCAAAATAACTGCTCAAGGTTTTTTCTCCATTTTTTATTGGGAAAAATCTCTTTATTGGCAGTCACCAGTATGTTATTTTTCAATACAGGGCTTGATTCTGCTAGAACCCACTAAGGGTGGAACAGAAACTCACGGGGAAAAAAACTATTCTCTCTTTCCAAGTTTGAAAAGTAAAACTTCTGAGGTTCTCAAGGAGCAGTTTGAGAACCCCAGGGAATGTGAAGACTCTTCCTAAGGAGTATGGGGAAGGGAACCTGGAAAAGTCAATGAGGGAAGGCCAATTTGTTGCTGAAGACACTGAAAACATCTGCAAATAGGAATGAGAGTGAAAGGAAAATCACTTCAGTGAGGATAAAAATTAATCCCTTAAAAAACATATTAACTATTGAATAGTCAAGATTTAACCAGCTGAACTGTAGGACCAAAAGGAACCAAAACATCTTTCTACAAATGCAAGTGAAATTTAAGTCAGAAACAGCAAGAGGATGTCACTCCATTTTAAACAGCTCACTCCATTTTAAACAGCTGTTTGCATTTAAAATGCCTAATTTAACACTGCATGAAAATCTGACTGATTTTCTGTTTGTATTAATACACACATAAAATTCAAAACCAGCTTAAAGTGATTAAAATATAAATTTTAAGATAAATCATTCACATATATTTGGAAGATTGCTCTTCTCCTATCTATTCTATGCCCACAGTTTAATCCAGATTAAAACAATCAGGAGACTGCAATAATTTTTAGTAATATAATAATATTATTTTTAGCTTTACCAGTAATCCTGATAAAGCTAAAAATGTAAAATGGATACTAAATACTTCTTTGCAACACATTCTGGAAATTACTATCTGCAAAGTCCTTTGCTGGTTCTACAGACAATGATTTCAGTGTTTTTACTACAATTTTAGAACAACTTGAATTTCTTTAAAAAAAAAAAGGTCTAGAAGACACTGTGGATAGTTGTATTTCCATCCAAACTCTGAAATAAGCCAGCCCAAACCTCCAGCACCTAATTTGAACACCCATTTCTTCCAAACCCCCTAATTGAGCACTGGGTTGTCAGTCAAGAAGTTAAAACCATCTGCAGGGAAAACCAAGAAATGAATGACTGGCAAAACAAGATCCATGTGGTAAATCATAATGAGCTTGCATTGTAAATGCTTCTTTCACATGGAAAACAACTGGAGAAAAAAATGTTCTGAGCATTCAAGGCAAATTTCAGCTATTCAAAGAAAATGATCCATCTTTTCTTTATCTCACCCTATTCTCACTTGGAGTATTTAGAAAACTCACAGATACAGACAAGAATGTCAGAGAGAACACCTACAACTCCAGAGTTATCCACAGTGTACAGGAAATTTCCATCTGAGCAATCCAGGCACACCAGAGGTGATGTTCTTTACTGCTGCCCACCATAAGGAGCAAGGCACTGCCTTAGAGAGGGAAGTCTAATTTATTACCCTCTACCACAAGTTCTCAAACTGCAAAGCCCAAGGCAAGCTTTTCCTCCTTGGAAAGATTTTTCTATTGTAGTTATTACTATTATGTATTATTTGAAAAAGAAGATAAAAAAATTTTGCAAAGCTGCTTGAGAATGTAAAATAAAATGTCCTGGTACTTAAAGCAACAGAGAATCACAGGGCTTGGAGACCTCCAAGATCTTCCCCTCTGAATCAGGTCAGACCACTTGTGTAAATCCTGAGTTGTGCTCCTCCAACCCTGTCTTACAGCAGCCAGGACAACTCCACAAGCACCACAGGCACACCTAGTCCAGCTCCTAGTCCTAATTTACTGTCCAAGTATCACTGAGGAAAATCAGCCTTCTCTTTTTCAGAGCAGCCTTTAACACACTAATTTTTACATCTGGATCCATCTCTCTACTTCCATGTTTTTATTTCTTGAGGCTGAACAGCTCCTGCCCCTTATTCCTTCCTTTTACATCACAGCTTTTATACCACCATTCATTTTGATTGGTGTTTTCCAACTATGAAGAACATTTCTCAAGGTGTGATTTTTGGGGCTGTCCTGGGCAGGGAGTTGGACTTGGGTGATCCTTGGGGGTCTCTTCCAACTCAGGATATTCTCCAAGTCTGTGAACCAATCACCTAAAACTGAATATAACATTACTGACAAGCTGGTTTTTTTTGTGTACAGCAAACCAGTCACCTACAGAGTGCCAAGGACACTGAATGGAGGTGTTACTGGCTTTTGAAACATTTCAGATTATTAATCCAGAGAGAAAGATCATGATCATCAGATATTTTAGAGAGGTTCTACACTGACTTCTACCGGGCCTCCCATCAATGAATATTTCCATTTTTGATCTGTAAGTGAAGTGTGGAAACCAAAACCTCTCAAGGACAGCCACACACACAACCAGGCAAGTGTTCTGCTCTGGGAGTTGTATTCCTAAAGCAAGAGCCTGCTTTGAAATGATACTTTGAAGAGCTGCTCCTTTACTAACAAAAATCTGGCAATTCCCAAGAATCAGTATGTTATGATCAGCTAAACATAACAATGTGTATTATTACCACAGTTCACTCTGTTAATTTAATATACACTGCAGTGTATATTAAATCTCCAATAAATTATTACACCAGCTATTTACAGGCATGGTTTTGGTTAAGAGTTAATTCTTTTCCTCTCAGTGTATGTGCTCACATCTAAGACATTTTACAGCTGCAGGACACTTGGGAAAGCTCCTCCCTCTTTTGTTAACATAAGAGCGTTCAAACAACTATCTGTAAAGCAAAAGCTGTACAAAAACCCTTTTAAAAACTTTAGCAGTTGGCTGTAAAGAAAAGGCTCAGCAGAACACACCTCCTGCTTGGTTTTTGTGGTGTATCCCTGGACAGACTCTCTTGCCACCAAACTTTCCAAGGCATCCTGCACTGTGCGGATCTTGTCTGACTGGATGTCCAGCTGCAGGGTGAAGAAAGGTTGCAGTGTAGCAGACTCCTTGGAACTCTGCTGGTAAACAACAGATCTATGAGGGAAAAAAAAAGTTAAAATGTAATAAAGTGTTATTTTTGACAATACAGAACCTTCAAGTCAGAATAAAGTTACTTAAGTAACTCAATTTATATTAAATTCAAAGCGACACACAAACACAAAGGTTAAGCTTTAAGTTTCAACAGGAAACACTCACTGCTGTTTAAAGGGTTTTAACATCCATTAAGGACATACTGAATGGGATATAACTGAATTGTTTTATTTATGCAAAGATTGAAATAGCTACTGGATAAGCATCAAAAGTTTAAAGAAAAAGCCTGAAATTTTTGATAATGCATTTTAAAAAGAAGTTCACCTCCAGGCTCTTTTTGTGTTAGTTTTGAAATTCCATTTCCCAACAGATCTTCAGAAGTGCAAAGGCCTAATGCTTATCTCTGTTCTGCTGTAAAAGTTACAAGTGATTCCAGATTCTCCAATAAAAATATAATAATTTTTTAGTCACTTCACTAAGACCAATTTCACAGCGATTTTAAATTGTTTGCTTAAATCTTGCCACAGGAAATACAAACTTTGCTCCATCAAGGACTGGCATTTCCTTTTCCTCCCATCATTTTCTGTGTCCAGACTTCCTCCATGTACTTACTGCTTTGTACATAAATTGGAGCCTTTTGGAAAACTAGCTGAGGTAATGACCTGGGGCATGAGAACATGTTTTCTGGGTTTTTGGGGGTTTTGTTTTTGTTTGAAGTGTGTTCAGTTGCAGCTTTTAAGTAGCCTGGCTTGGTGAGCACTGTTTTGTTCACTGCACTAAGTGGATCTTCCTGACTTTCATTTGTCTTAAACTTCACTGAAAAAAAATGAAGATTTTTTTTTTTCTTTTATTTTGAAGGCAATATTTGCATTTAAAAGCTCCAGCTTCTACAAAAACGTGGCTTTACACGCAGCCAAAGAAATGATTCATTTATTATGGTGGTGTGCATTACAAGGCTTGAAAACACAATTATAATTAACACAGCTCTGATCCATGTGGCCACACTGGAATGTCTCCAAGTCAGGTAGGAAATGATGTTCAGATTAATGCAGGTTAAACAAAAGAGCCCCTTTGACTCAGGGAAAGCCCTGAAGCACCAACAGAAACAGCCAGTGCAGCTTTATATTGGCAAATATATATCCTTTAGAGGAAAGGGAGGGTATGGAAAACAGTAGCATCTTTATTTCAGTTTAACACTTCCTCCTTGGCTGTGTTAAAGGACAAAACCTTCAGCCCATGGCAAGAGCAGTGTTTCAATAAACAAACCTGTCCCTGCTTTTGAATATACTTCCTAATTATTTTTTTTTTCAGCAAACCGTTATTGAGAGCAATAATCCAGAGAAAAATGTTAACAGCTCCAACTGTGTTCAAGACCAGGTATTAAAATTTAATGAAAAATAGCAATAATATTCTCAAATAAGAATGTTAAAAAAACCTTTTTTTAAAAAAATATTAGAAATTATATTGTATTATTTGTTCAGAACATTTTCTTCACAAAGATATGCAGAAATTGATATGACAGCAAAGCCTTTGCTGGATCATGATTTTTCTGTAGCAGCATCACTTATTAGGATAACTACAAATCTCAACTGGACAGGGGAAAATGCATCATTTGCAATGAATAATTAATTGGGCACTGCATAAATTCTACATTAAGAATTTTTCAGGCAAACCTTGTACTTGCACATTTAAGTCTCACATTGCTAAGGAAGACTTTATGTGTTGTCTGCCTAATAGATATTTAATAGACTCAAGCCTTGCAAGGTCAGCCCAAAATTTCCCAAGCCTTAAGCTTCCCAATTCAAAAGTTTCCCAAACCTGAAGATGCCAATTCAAACCATCTTTTCCTGGCTGCTTTTTCCATTCCAGTTTTCCAGTTTCTGATGCTTTCACTTAGTGCAATTCTACTGCCATTTCCATATTCAAACCTTCCTATCTCCACCCTCAGCCTCAGAGATGAGGTTTTCCAACATCCCATGGGATGCTGTTCCTCTGGCAAATTGTGTGGCCTGGTGTGAGGGATAAGTACAGCAAACAGTAGATGTTGGATTGGACCCTTAATGCAAGTTTTTGCCTTTTTTCAGTATCACCTTTGCTTTCCATCATTTTCTGTGGGCTTCCACAGAAAACAGCATTCACTCAGTATTTTAATACAAAACCTGATGGAATCAAGTAGAGATCTAAACAATCCTGACCACGATAAATACATTTAAGGTATTAACAACCCCTTGGGTACGTGAGCCCTCGATGCAGAATTCCATCAATACCTACAAACATCTGGCTGCCAAATTCTATGGAATATATAATTTTATTTGCCAGCTGTCTGGCTCAAAACCCAGCAGAATAAATAATTTCAGAGCATTTCACAGGCAGAAGGCACTAGCCCACATTATTCACACTTCTAGACTGAATATCTGGCAACGCAGAGAGTCAAACACCAGCAATTAAGTGTCTGTCTCCAATTTAAAAATAATTCTTCGAGTCTAGCAGTTTTGTTTTGAATATGTTTTTAGCAAGTGTTTACTTTGCTTTCATTTTAAATTACACATTTCTCCAAACAAGTCATGAGGCTTCCTTTCCAAAAAATATTCTTTCAGGATCTACTTTCTGCCTTCATCTGGTATCAGACCTGAATATAAGTAATGTCCCACATTCTTTTCATTCCAGTAACATCTTGTAGTAATTTATATTTTTCCAGACTCCTTTTGCTTTTAACATTTATTAACTATTACACATAACTTTCTCTGGGAAGCATTAAGTGTCTAAAGGACTAAAAGCCCACAGTTTTTTACTTTATTTCACTCACAAGAGTTAACTCTTTGTAAATCTCATTATCTCTCAGTATCCTTATTTACAACACGAGTCGAGAATTCTCAGAGGACACAAAAATGAAGCAGCTGGAATTCTTAAGACATTAATATTCCCAGCATACATATTTTCTACGTGCAACTCTTTGCTTCTCAACATTTTTTCTTTTCAAGCCACTTAAAAGTACTGTACCTTATGTGACCACCAAAGATATCAGTGATTGGAGTCTGCACAAAGTCAGCCTGGCGAGTGACTGAGGACTTGTTGCGAGGTCCCACCTGCTCCCACTCGTCCTCGCTGCCTTCCCCCTGTTCCTCCTGCTCCTCTTCCTCAGGAACAGCCTGAGCCTCAGGGCCGTTGGACACCGACAGTTCTTCAAGTGACCAAGAAAAAAAATAACCCACGTTGAGTTTTTTACAAATAAAACACATAGATAGGTAATGAATTTAAAAGGCAAATAATAATAATAATAATAATAATCATCCTTTCCAAGGATAAAATGCTTCCATGGATCAATTGATTAGATAAATAAAAAAGAGAACAAGCATTTTCCAGGTTCACTGCTAGCTGGACACATCCTGTGTTAACAGAACCCAGCTCACTGATGAGTGTATGTAAATAAATGGAGTTTTCCAGCAAAGTTTGATATATTTATAGCAGTAAATTTATGGGGTAGAAAATTAGAAAGTCAAGTGTTATTCTGGAAACATAATTAAGTTATTATTAAATACAACTCCTTCTCTGCACAGGTATTTTACAGGGAACCCAAGGCTTAGCAAATATTTTCTCTGCAAGTGCCCAAGTCAGGAGGCTATAAACTGCTCACAGCTACAGAACATGTGGAATGAACATTTTAAATCTTAAAAAATTTACCCAACTAAAGAGAAATTGGATAACTGGAGATCTTAACTCTATACTTGGCTAAGGCTCACAGTATTTTGTTTCATTTTTAACAGGGGGCTCAACCATAAAGCCACTATAAAATAAAATGGCATTTCACTTTGCATACAATTCTGGTAATTCTTCCAAAGAAAAATTCTTCACTGACTTTGTCAGTAGGAATTTTAAAATCACTTAATATGCTGTTTTATACTGGATATAAATTAGCCTTTAGTCTAGAACTTTCCACTTCAAAAAGAAGACTTTTAACAGTGGTTTAAAGATCAGTGAAAAAAGACACTGATCTATTTTGAGCTCCCACTGAGAGAACCAAAACCCCAGAAAACAACTGACACTGCAGGTATTATGAATGACAAACATCCCTATGCTTCAGAAAAGACCAGTCAGCTTGAGTTAACCTCAAATAATGTATACATTTGTAATATAGAATTTTATTGGTCAGGAGGACCAGGTGTATGACTGATTGTCATTCAGAGCATTTACAGAATGATGGTGCTCTTTTAAATACCCAGTAACTTCAGATCATTTATAAACTACAGAATGGGCTCATTTTATCCAGATTTTAACAAAATATTATTTGTTATTGTCAGAGTCCCCTAAAACATAGCAGTCTACCCCTATCTCAACATCTACTCTAAACATTACTCTGTGCTACAGAATCACCACACAAACACAGTATTTGAAATAAATCGTTTTCTACCAAGGGAAAAAAATATCCACTAACTTTCATTATGTGGAGAGAGAAGTTTCTTGAGGGTCAGCATCTCTTCATGTAGTCCATTGAGGATAAATCCCAAGTATTCTTCAGCATCCTCTTGCCTGCCCTGAATAAAACATTTTTTTCAATTAATTCTATGACATTTTCATGGTTTCCTTTTAACAGAAGGTTCATGAGATGGACCATCCAGCTTTTTCCTATTAATTTAGCTTATTCAGCAACTACTGAGCCTAAGTTTTAATGTCAAATAAAGTTTAAATTTTACTGTAACAGCACCTCATTTTTAACCAGTTCAAACCAAAATGCCCTAAGCAAATACACCCATAAGCTTCACATGGCATTTCTGCATTCTCCTCAATACAAATTCCATTTAACATGTGAGCTGGGGGTTTTTTTCCCCCCATTTCTTTTAAAACCACTATTAAGAGTTGCTGTCAAGCCATGGCCAAATCAAAAGATGGTTTCCAACTATTACCTTTTCTTTAAATTGAAACTAAACCTGAAATAGTATTTTGAAGTCTCCAGACCTTTGACCATTCCAGGCTGAATCCCTCACAAAAATGAACAACTGCTCATTTCTTAAATGTCAATCCATTGGTAACTTCATTATAAAAAGAGATGTTCCATTCCAACAGTAATTTTTTCATTATTCTGACACATCAAACTGCCAAACCTATAATTAACTCATTCAAGTCCCAAGACATTATAACGAGCTATCAATTAGCTGATTTTTGTGGTGTTTGAGCACAGAATCTGATGTGTGGCTCTCCACAGTTTCAGAGACAGGGACTGCCCTGTGATGCAGTGACAGAAGTCAAGGATTTTAAGTCCCACCTTTTCTGACAGACTCGACTTTATAACCGTCAAGAGTCTGTAAATGTAGGTCGGTTCAAAGGCAGCTCCTGGTCGGATGTCTCTCACTATTTTATCACCCAAAGCTGCAAAGCAAAAGAGAAATAAATATAAGTAACAATACAGAGAAGTTTTTTCTACATTATACATTAATATTCTCCTCACACATCACTAGATTTTGAAGCTCAGCATTTATTTACTAATAGTTTTATTTTAATCTTGATACTCTTATCTGTAAACGTTTTTTAAAAAAAACCATCTTACATCACCCTGTATAGACTGACAGATGCTCTAGAAAAGTTAATAAACACTCTGAAGACTAACAAGAATATCCACAGCCATCATAAAAGAACATTCTAGTTCTATTTAAATTTTTGTACTCGAAGAACACTTCTTAAAAGCTCGTATGTATTTGCAATTCTAACAGATCATTTTTCCTCACTGGAGAAAAAACAAACAAACCAAGAAACAGTTTGACAGAATGTTCCACCTAATGGCAATACAAGGCCTCGAAACTGTACTTGAAAACTACACAATGAAATGACCTAGAAGTATAATAAGTTGCATAAGCCAGTGAGATTTGTTTTACAGAAAGAAACCACAGAAATGTCTGAACTGTTTGGAAATCACTGGAACAACGAGCTCCTTGCAATATTTTCTTATCACGTTACATAAAAAAGTTTCAGGAATGTGCTTGTTTCTCTAAGTTTGTAATACAAAAGACTTGGTTTAAAATTAAGATTAAAAAAACTGAAATCTGTAAGATAATTTACTTGCATCAAAAAACATTCTATTCCTCGCTACATGATCATCATTGAGCCTGAATCTGCATTAGCAGGAGTCATCCACTTCCAAAGCTTTCACTCTGGAATCAGAAGCCAAGACAGTATTCCTGCAGGCAATCTCCAACTGCTCAACAGACCTGCTCTGGCCCCTTTTGTTCCAAATGAATGGGAGAGTTCAGGATTTAAGGAAGGATGACAGAATTGAGCAATGTGATAAACTAAAAAGCTGGAAACAGGTAAGGAAGGAAATGAAGTAAAACGCTGCGAGTATTTTTTACATGACTTTGTTAGAAAGGGTATGTTGTTAGAAGAAATCTTAACAATTAAGTGAACCTTCAACAAAAACTATTCTTATTGCACTTGTTACACCTTAAATTTATTCTTCTCTGTAGTTGACCAATGTACATCTCTGACTTCCTGACATGAAATCACCAATAAGAAAAAGTGCAACACTGACACAAAAGCAACAGCAAATTTTGTAAGGTATGGAGAAATCCCCAAATCCCAAAGAGCCCTGAAGAGGATCAAGCACCAGTATTAAGAGGTCTCAAGTACATCACCCAATGAGATCCTTACCCCAAAGACTTTTCTGCCCCTATTCCCACTCACCTTGCTTTGCTTTAGGAGGTACAGGCATATTAGTGAACTCATTCATTAAACGAACACTGCAACAGAATGGAAGGAACAACTCCACATGAGCAGCAAGTAAAGACTTAGAAGGACAAATAATACAATCAGATCATTGCCATTATGACTGCCAAAAACCAGAATATCATCACAAAGTCTGAGGAAAGACATAAAACCCAACCTGATCACTGTAATGAAACCCAGGTGTTTGGTTGGTTCATTTTTGCATATTAAACACAATTTACAACTGATACTCCCGAGGCAACAGGAAGTATCCTCCTTGACTAGTCAAGGAGCTGTACAATACCAAGTTCATTCTAAAAGATATGGATCACCCAAAAACCACATGAGAGAGACTTCTGGATCCAGAGCAAGTTTCAACAACGATCATTTGTTATTTCTGAAGGAGCTCAGTCAGATCCCAGACTCTTATTCCCTTTTCCCAAGCTACTTACAAACTGTCTAGCATTGGAGTTGAGGTACACGGCCTCTGCGATTTGGAATACATTGGAATGGACTTCATTAAATGATACATTGGAGGGCAAGCAACCAAGGCCTGCAGGGTCTATGCAATGGCATTAAGGAAATATGCAAAAAATTCATCTGTATATTAACCAAATATTCAGTTATATTTAAAATTCTATGCAAAGTCTATATTTTTATTATGTCGCTCAATCCCATAACACTGGAAAAGAAGATGAAGCTTTATCACAACATTAACCAGTGATGTGCAGAAGTTGTACTAAAAAAAACCCACAGCTTTTTATAACATGCAGTGATTTCAGTGACATTTTAATCGTGGCAAAAAGGAAAACATTTTGTCTAGGAGCAGGAGAGGAAAAGAACTTTCACAGGAAAGACTTTATAAAATTAACAATTTGAAAATTGGCAAGAGATAACCTGTAACATGCTTTCTGAGAAGAATGGAAGAAGTCGACAGATTTTACGTCAGAGGTGGTGATTCACCCCTGTACCCAAACCAAAAGTAACCCTCTGGGATGTGAGACATTCTGCAGTGTCAAGAGTTGGGAGAAACCAGTGAAACTCCAGAGCACACTGGGAGAATAACAGTTTAAAACCACCTTCTTGGTGAGACCAGTGAACACAGGAAATGCATTAAAAGACTGGAGGGAAATGACAAAAAAAGCATCGATCTCAACAGCTACAGAGAGAGATTAATTTGGTCCCCACAGTGTGCAAAAATTGAATAATAAATTCCCATGTAACACTTCAAGACTGAAAAAAAGGGAGCTAATATGTATATGTAACAGCTGAGTGCACAACTGGTTACATAAGACAAAAGCTGAAGTTTAAAGCACAATTGTTGCTCTGGAAATAGTTTATTAGGGTCTGTCATGATCAGTCTTGAAACTGGTCTTAGTATTTCTCCCTTGCAGTACCAGCACTCAGGGTATCCCAAATGTCACTCACAGTGCGCCTTGCTAACACAGGACATAATTTTAAAAATTATTAATGATTTTTATTAATACCATAATATAGCACTGAAGGACAATCTCCGTTCCCCAGGGTAAAAGTTATTTTTCCAGGGGGATACAATTCCAATACATTAAGAGCAGGCTCATCCTCCACGATGTAATGTGCAAAAGGAATATTTTAAACAATAATAGTGACAGCCTGCTCAACAAAAACCCAAATGATCCCCTTACCAACTGCCAAGACAAAGCCCAAGAGTCAGGACAGTTACTTCAAGTACAAAAGATAAATAATCACCTAAATTGATGCACAGAGTAAACATAATTAGAAATTAAAAGGTTTTCAATCAGGAGAAAGTCACAGTTCTGCAATATTTTGACACGGGTAACAACTGCAAACAGGACTGGAGGGGAACTCTGGACCTGAGGCTCAAGGATCCCAAATCCCCTTGGATTTCTAGCTGCTACACTTCACATCTTAACCACAGCAGCAGGATCTGGGAAGACAAACACTTTTATAAAATACTTACCAGAGAAATCCAGAAAAACTTTGACAGATACACTACACAAATTTTAACTTAAGAGTATTATTTTTTCCAGGGAAGGATACAGCATTGATGTAGCACCAGTTTCCTTTGTTGATCAGCCCTCGGGGTTGCAAAGACACTGGTTTATGTATTAGCCTTACACTTTCCAGTATTTCTGCAGGATGAGAAACAGTAAATTGAGCATCAACAAAACTCACATGTGGCCACCAAACAAGCATCTGTTGCTGCATCACAAAATAATTCAGTTCAATGTACAAGATTCCCAGAAACTTCAGCAAATCATTTTCACTCCATTTGAACACTGCTTGTATCTCAAACCAGACGTGTTTCTTCCACTGGAGACATCCTGGAATTCGGGTCAGGAGGATGCTGGGACAAAAACCAACCACTGGCATTGCAAAACTGACAAGACCTATTTGGTTTTATTTTTGTTTCCTTAAAAGCAGATACTTTTATTTACATAGATACATAGATATAAAATCCCATTAGCTGGCAGCACTTGTCCTCAGTTTTAGGAAGTATTTCCCAAATTCTTCTGCTTTGAAGGGAGATGAAGATGACAGAGCAGTCCCAGCTTACAAGTTTCACCATCCACTATCTTACAACAAAAACATCTCAGTGCAAACAGACAGACAGATGTTACTGTGCTCTTCAGAACAGGCTGTTTTATTTACTGGTTTAAGGCTTGCAAAATCTACGAGATAACAGCCTTACATAATGTAATTCCAATTGTTCTCCTGCTTCCAAAACCTTCAGCAATGAAGTTGAAAACTTAGAAACCACTGCACATAATTGTGCCTCAGTTATGAAACAAGAGCAGCACAGGGAGTTTTTCCAGGAATCCTGACCTGTTATTTAGGTCCCCAAATAAAAACCATTTAAAGAAAATATTGGAGCTGGTGTATCTTAAATTTGTAAAATAAGGACAAGAGGTATTCAAGTCAGAACAAACAGATGTAAATGAACATGCCAATTGTCTACCAAGGGGGTTATTTATTTTTATAACAGATGTGAGGACCTTTATATGCTACCCTGCATAAACCTAAAGAGTTTGAGCTGTTCTCTAGAAGGACAGATAAAATAACATGACACAGGTGGAAAAACAGAGGCACAAAGCCATAACTAAGCAGAGGAGGTGGCAGAACTGCCAACAAAATCCACGTCCTTCTACTTCCAAAATATCTCCTTACCTATAAGATTGTATTTCCTGCAGACACCACCAGTTCTAACCAAATAAAAATGACAAAAAAATAGGACATTTTTAAATCAGTCATCTATTACATAAAGAACCTGGCAGCTGAAAGAGCAAACAAAAAAATAAGATGTAAAATGGAAAATGTAGCAGAGAGGCAGGGGAAAACTCCTCTGTGAGTGCTGAAACAGTTATTGAATTACTGCTCAAGTATTTCAGGATATATTAACATTTGAACTGTGTTGTACACACATACAATCTTTCTGTTAATATAACTAAGCACTGTTGGAAATTAGGATAAAAATAGAGGAAAAAAAATTATATTATGAATGTCTATCAGCAACTTTTGACATTAACTCTTCCCTATTTTTGCACCATGCTAAAGAAAGATATTATTAGGACCTTTAGCATCCTCTTGTGGTCATAAAACTGCTTTGTAGCAGTGTCTAGTGCAATTACTGTGAGTTTATTTCTTTTAACAAAGAATTACCTTTGTGTACAGCAATCAAAACCACATCTCCATCTAACATTTTACACAGAAACTAAAAGAACTTTTACAAGAGTATCAGAAGAAAAATACACTTAAAACCATGAAAAAAACCATCTTAAAACTTCAAAACCTGTTAGAAAGCTCAAGTTATTAATCAAAAAGAACTCACATTCGCTTTGGAGAATGACTGGTGAAAAGGCCTCAATTTGAAAACAGATCTAGAACACTATTAACATTTTTGTAGGTAAACAAAACACATTTTGCTAAAGTTTATTCATCAGGTCTTGTTATTACAAGTACCTGTCAATTTTTTTCTAAAACAGGTTATTTCCTTATGAAAGCAAGTCCAAAGTTTAACAAGAGAGGAACCACATGGACACAGTCTCCAGGTTGAAGACACTTGCTAAAAGCTAGGAATTTAACACCTTAGATATTCAACACTCGGCCTGAGGTCCCTATCTGGAGAATATTTTGTCTCTCAGATCTTTCTTCAAACTGGACAATGATTAAAAAATCCCAGGACAACACTGCTGGATAACCCTACGCAAAATCAGTATCTGCAAGAATGCAACAGGTTACATTTATGAAGTAATTTATAACCCCCCAAACCTTGCAATGTCTCCATTCCACAACTCCTTCAGTGCTCCAGCACTTACCTACCTTTACAATAAGAAAATATTTTCCAATATGTAATACTGAAACACCTTTCTTACAATTTGAACTAATTCCTTTCTTTTTCTCTAGTCTTGGGAGAACAGTGCATCATCATGTGAATTTACATCAGTGGTCACTCCAACAATCTCAACTGAGACAAAATAAATCCAAATTTTCCACGTTTGCCTACGTGGTTTTCAAACCTTAACTTCTATTTTCACTGCTGCACTGTGGAATCTTCCTTGAGAACTAATGCCCAGAGACTGGCATTTCCATCAAGTCCTCAACAGCAACAACAGAATTAGAGTTATCTTCCTCCTTTTCCATGTAAATTGGTATTAACACACAGTGCGAAAAAAACTTCTTCAGCTTTACTGAGGACACTCCTCAACTCCCTAAAACTTCCAGATCCTTTTCTCTAATTCTACTGCCAACCATGAGTGTGGGTGTTGAACAAAGCACTGAGGTTCCTGTTTTCCAAACAGGACAGAGAACACCAAAGAATGGAAAATAAAGAAAACCTCCTTTTTCCACAGAGCAAAGCACTGAGTACATTTACATGACATTCACATCTTCAAGTAAACATTTTATACCAGAATCAGCAGCATGTGAATGACAGAAATTGCAGCAACATAACTCCTACCTAAAGCAGCTACTATGAGCAGTTGAATTCTTCTTACCTACACTTAGATTATCCCCCGCCCAAACTACTAATAGTGAAGGTGCAAAAGACAACTTGCATAAAAATGACATTGCTACTTTACTACATTTAAGACAAAACAAAAAGCTCTGCTCCCACCTGGTGGCAAAAAATAGTACAGAAGCAGTAAAAGTTCAGGAAGTTAACTTAGAGCTGAAGCAACCTGGACAAGATAAAAAACCTTTTTCATTTATGGCAAGCAGTTTTAGCTGTGTGCTTGTCACAAAACAGTTTTAAGTTAAAAGTCATTACTAAAGGATAGCTTGAGATTTTAAGACAACATTGTTCTCCACATATATGGCATCATACAAACTGGAATCACCTGCTCATATATTTTTTTTAATACAGTCAACTGTGTTTGTAACACCTAAGTGGAAAGTACAAATTATTCTGACAGTTTTCTCTCAACAGACAGTTCTGAGTAAGGAGGGGAGGAGAGGCAGGATCTACTTCTGGGCATTCTGAATAGTTATCTCCAGGTCAGCTTCTGGCAGAGTAGGAATCTGACTCCAAGCTGCCACACTCATTGCACTTGTAAATTAGTCTGTAGCACAAATGGCAGGATTTTTCACCAGCCCATTTCACGTACAGACTAATTCACAGATTTAAATGAATTACTTTTGTCCCAACATTCATGAATTAATGACACAAAATGCAACCAACTGGGAAAACTTGGTGTTTTCTGACCAAAGCTGCAAAAAGGATCTCCTGCATTTTCTAGTATATCTCATTAGAACCACAATTATGACAGGACCAACAGGGAAAGTCTTTGTATCACTCGTTCCCTTTCCTGATGTACCCTCTGGACAGTTCCTTATGGTTTTTCTTGAGCAGGCAACAGCTAGCATTGTTTCTGGATAAAATAATATTGTTTATAATAATTAAGGATAATTCTTCAAAATTGGAAGGACAGACCTCTCAAACAGTATATCAGTAAATATAATTTCCCTGAATTAGAATTTCTGAAGAAAGACCTATTTAGATGTTACACTTCAGCTGCTGTTCAGTGTCCAGGAATTTCAGCTACTTTAGTGTAAATACATTAATATTCTTGTTGCAATGGAATGCACTACAAGATAATAAATACTGGATAATGTACCACCATTTCCTATTCTCCTTGTTAGAACAGCACAGAGCTGAACACAACCAGCCTATTTAAAATCACAGATCATTTAAACACATTGTTTGACAAGTAGCAACAGTTTTACCGTATCTGGGATAATGACATGGCAATCCCTGGTTGGAATGTTTACTCAGAGGGATACAAAACTAGTTTATTCAAATTACAACCTTCGTGCAGTGTTTGAACAGTCGTCTTATTACCAGGGGAACATCACCAGAGGAATGTTTTCTATGAATATTGCACACTCCTGTTTACAAGCAGAGCTTGTAACATCCACTCGTGTGTATTAACTATACCTGCAATCTTTATGGCTACAGGATCCTCTGAAACTGGAACAGGTCCCTCTTTGACTTCAACCTGTTTTTCAGGGACCAGAGGAGATGTGGCAGGAGGGGTATACTTAGTCTCAACATAGACCACAGATGTGGAAGCAGAGGGCTTGGAATTGTGAAAAAGACTAGCCCACGATTTTGCAGGCTGATTAACGGGGACTGATCCTGCAACCGGGACTGTTGCCTCAGTAGTAGGTGAAGCTTCCTCAGGCTTAGCTTGGTCTGAGTCAGTGCTTTCCACAGTGTGCAATTCTACCCCATTGGCAGCTGTGTCCTCACCAGAGGATTCAAGTGTTTGTCCATTAGTAACGCCAAGACTTTCAGTAGTATCAGTACCAGCATAAGACTGTACACCAGCTGTCCTTAGGGGGCTATCTCTGACGGCCTCCGAGGGGAGGCAAAACTGTTCAGAATTAGGAACTCGGCATACCTCGGGCTGCCCGGCAGTCCTGGCATTGTCCAGAGCGCTGGGAACGGCCCCAGCAGGGACAGCTCCAGGCACGAAGTCCACGGAGTTGTCCGGGCTGTTGCAAGTCCTTGGCGTGGCCAGGGAGGGGATGTCTCCTGCCAGCTCCGTGTCCTCCGGGGGCAGGCCCGAGGAGTTGGCGTGGCCGTTCACCAGCGCCTCCGGGGGGGCTAAACCATCGCTGACATCTTCCAGGTAACTGTAATATCCAGGGGGTCTTTTCTTCTTCTTTTTGCGCTCCCTCTGCCCGAGGCCTCCGGACAAGCCGTCGTTTTCCGCGTTGGAGCCGCTGTCCAAAGCCAGGCCGGGATCGCTGAACTGGCAGTCGATGGAGTTGTAGTTGGTTTCACTGAGAGCATCATCAGGGGGTTTCTGAGCAGGTGCACAACTGAGGATGAATTCTGGAGCCTGAGGATTCAGAGTACTTGAAATACTGTAGTCGGTGTTATTTAGGACAGCTGATTGCGTCTCAATGACTTCGTTAACACCAAATTCAATTCTCTGATACTCTTCCCCTGGACAAGAGAAGGCAAATCTCAGTTAGGGAATTACAGCAAATCGAGAAGCTACGAGAGCAAGAAAAAAACCTCCTTATTTTTCTCCAGCTCAACTACGTTCCCTCAAACAAAAGTAATGCTTAACCTTGATCCTGAAGACCATTTCAAAACATCATTCTCTTAAAGATTGATTCGGCTTTTCTTACACAGAGTATGTAATTTTCCAGACCACTGTACAGCCCCTGCAAATAACCCCTATAAAATTCACCTCTTAAGAAAAACTATTAAAGCCCATCAACTTCAGAAATAATCTGCATTAGGTTAATTACTGGATAATTGCCTATAAAATATGGTGCAATATTTAACTCGACATTTCTTCTAAAGCCAGTCTTTCCCACTGACAATTATAAAATCCAAGCCTCACCTCTAACTTTTCCATATATGAAGTTTGAGTTTTGGGGGGCTGGATTTGGTTTTCTTGGTGTGATCTATTATAATAAAAGGTTTAACACAGTCCTTAATAACTCAAATATATTTTCATTAATTGCATGGAAACAATGAAATTACAGGTTTTGAAACTTTAGGCTCATCGATAATTTATTTGATCAGAATTGAATTTATTACTATGTAAGAATATTATATATATGACTCCAGGTTTTTCTGACAAGAAATACAACTGATACTCAACATAAGTCAGCATTCAACTTGTACATATGAGCAGTACTGAAAAATTATGAACAGGTTTTTTTGTTTTATTGATTTATTTACCTTGGAACTTTAAAGAAACACTAACAGATATTCTCATGGAAGCCTGCAGTATCCCAAAATATTGCCAGTTACAAAGTTGTGCAGTTTCATGGCATTTAATTAGTTATAATGCATGTGTCCTAACTAGTAACACTGAATACTTCAGTTACAACTCAGTAACTATAAAAAAAAAAGAGATAAAAGGAATGCTAAAGGTAAGCTCACATTTTAGTCCTCTAAGTTTTGTAGCTCTTTATGACACTTATGTTACTGTACCAAACATATTAGTTTTAATATTTTGTGTTTCCTCAAAGATGGGGCTAAAACATGCATTTCGAATTTTTAAGACTGTAACTACAGAACCAAACACCACCAGATATTATTTCCAAAGGAATATAAGGGGATACACAACTGAATTTTTAAGATTTTGTGCAATTTACTATGTCTGACATGTCAATAAAGGGGTATTTTTGAGTACATCACAGACTCGATAAAAATGAGGCGAATTTTTTTTTTAAACACAACAAAAAGCGAGTAACAGTTCCCAAGGAAAAGATGTTATTCACACACTTAAGGAAATGATCCTATGGGAGGACAGAATCTAGTGGGGAATGTTTTGATACGTGACTGTCAACACAACAGCTTTAGCCCTCTCAAAACTCTCCCAATACTTTCTAGAAAAGTCTGCTGACAAACATTTCAGCTTTAAGAAAAACATGAAAGAAACAAGAATCTACAGGGTACTATTTTTCAATATGAAATGAAGATTAACAAACATTCAGTGTGTGTTGGGCTCTGAATTGCACATGCAATACCAACATATCATGAACAAATGATAATAATACTGCTGTTAATTGCTTTTCTGCTTTGATCTAGTAAATGAGAAGTAAACACGTCATGTATCGATTTCAATCTTGCTGCCAGTCAGACTAAAGGAGACTTTTTAAAAATAAAAAAGGGCAAAAACTCTCCATACACATCTGGTTTCTCTAAATCATATTAACAAGAGCCTGACTTTCAAATTCTCTTCACCTCTCCCTGTGAGAAAGGCTTTTCTAACACCCTGCCTGACTGGCTGCCAGTCACCAGCCACTTCTGCAATCGCTGACGAGCCGTCACCAACCCCAGAGAGGGCTGGAGTTTCTTGTAATAAAAACCAGCAGCCCAGAGACAGGGAGGTGGGAAGCTGCTGCCTGATATCCACTGAAGAGGGAAGGGCTGGGAGATGTCAGGAATCACCTCCTGCTCTGACAGGGGCTGTCAGTGCTGCACTGCCTGGCCTGTCCCTGCACATACAGCTCCAAAATAGCCACAGCTTCATTTGCAAAGGCAAAGCTTAAGGGGGGTTAAGGGATATGGGATCCAAACTCACAACAAAACTATTCCTCATTAGTTCATCTGCTTGTGGAGCAACTTGTTAAATCAAGCATGAACCAAGAGCTGATTCTTTAGCCTTTGTTACAACCCCATAAAGCACAAGCAACAACTGGTAACGTCTAATATTCCTCCAACCTCGATAAGAATCAATTATTGGGCACATTTCAAACCCCTATCAGTTCAAATAATCTGTGATTTCATTTCCAAAATCCTAGTTAAAAAAATAATAATGGCTTCAAAACAAAGGATGTGGTTTCCCTTCATGGGAGAGTTCAGTCTGTCACAGCCTGAAGTAAAAGTTGTCACCTCTGCTCCCCTCTCCTGCTGCTCTCTCTCCAGCAAGCTCCCAGCACTTGGTTACCCAAAGATAATCCAGCAAAATCAATAATCCAAGTGAGCATTTTTTTTTTCTAGTTTTGGTGCATTTATCAGTTTATCATACACTGAACAATCACAAGAGCCCTGGGGCAAGTGGGGAGCAGAAACCAAAATACAGCCCTCGGAGTTATGGCACAATGAACAGCGTAGGGTAAAATCCTGCCAAGAGCACCACTGACACTCCAGCATTTAACATACAAATTAGGAAATTACAGTTGAGGGATTAAACTTTACACCTTACAGCAGGATTAGAATAATAAATACCAGTAGTTACTGTATAGTTAGTCTGGGGAAGGATTGGCAGAAGCTCATTTACTGTAAGATTGTGTCGAGTTCATTTGAGAAAAAATGAGAGGCAATTTTTTCTATTTGTTTTGACTTTCCACTTTGCTTCAGGGCATCTTTGTTTCAATGCAGTTCACAGCTCTATTTCTGAATGGACTGAAACAGATCTATCTGTCATGTACAACATGGGATGCATATTGAAACAAGGATCAACAGATGCTCCAAGGACAGTCTGTGTACAACACCAAAATCTGTGAATACACAGCACTAATTAGTCTGGACAGAATTCTGCATATTAGAGCTTCAGCCATGACTTGAGTACTCCTAGTAAGTATTAACAGATATTCTAATTCCATAATAAAGTTAAATACTCAAGATAAATACATAAAAAACTAGACTATATGACAACATGATGTGTGTCATCTTAAGCAAACATTCCAGTTTAGTTTCCACAGCTTCTTACACAGCCATCACAGTGATAATGTGCATGCACAGTACAGTGCAAGTTTGTTAAAGACATTTTTCAAGCAAAACCTAATGTGCTGTGTCATTACCTAATCTCAGGGCTGGGAGGGGTTCTCTCAAGGTCTAGGAATGATCTGAAAAACATTTGTACAAACCAACTTTCTGTGTGGCTTGTGAACATTAAAATCCCAGCCTGAAAGAACAAAACTCAAATCCACAGTTAAGACAAAGCAATATATGACTGGACACCCCCGGCACCAACAGACAATTCACACCCTATGGTCTTTTTAAAGAACCTTTCTAACTCCTACTTAAAACTACTCAGGGTCCTAAAACTGCTCTTGTGCTAAATAAAGCTCCTGAATTGTCAGAAGTGTTGCCTATCTGCTTTCAAATGGGACCTGGGATCCTTCTTTATCACTGGCTATCTTGTTTGTCTTTAAATGCAGGGCCAAAATCTCTAAGCATAATGATCAGGTGTTCTTTAACATTATTAAGTGTATTTTGGTCCTCTTTTGAGTACTTGTGAGAAATGTCCAGTCAAATACTTGCATTATTTTGAAGGAGATCTGATGTCATTCTCATATACACCTGGGTAACTCTCAGCTCCCTTCCTCTCCTCTGGTTCAGGGAAAAACCCAAACAGTAATTTACTGTGAAAGTCTGGTTTAAACTATACAGTGATGATCACATGGGAACTCCAACCTAACTGTCCATTCCTTGTACCTGTGGAGTAAGGCCAGGCAGGGAGGTGTATGGGTTGAGGCAGAGTAGATGTGTGAATGTTGCAGCTTTAAAATGGGAACTCTGTAATGTATTTTTACATCAAGAGTCACACTTTTATCAAAAGAGAAAAAAAAAAAAAAAAAGGGATTCTCCAGAAAAACAGCTGAGCCAGACAGAAACAAGAGTCAGAGGGAACACAGAACAGAGGAGTCTTCAGGCTGCAACTGCCAGAAATTGCTCCTTGCTGAACACTATGAGTTATTTATTCACCAGCATACAAGTTCCTCCCCACATTTTCACAGCTACATCCTACAATGTTTCAGCAAGACACCAAGACTGTGTGGGAGCACAATCAAGGAGGAATAAGCGTGTCCACTGCAATTAGCTGAAGCTCAATGCAGTATTTTCCAAACCTCTCACAGATGTCATTCAATAAAGCAGTTTAAAAACCAACCTGCCTACTAAATGCATATATACCTGCTAAGCAAGTTTTAATGATTATATTTAAAGGGAGGTTGCAGTAAATCTAAGGAAAGTGTCACAACCTTTAATTTTGGGGAAAAAAAAAAGATCTTGATTTCTTACCATCACGAAAAACTTACCTGTGGATTTAATACCACATGAAACTGTTTCATTGTATGGGGGGAGCTGTACAAGAAAGAAATGAAACTTATTTAAAGGCAAAGCAAATCCATAAACATTTGATATCAGTTTCATTTGAAATATCTGAATCCTTTCAAAATAACATCATTATTTGATTTTCAGAGAGTATGTCTTGAACTTATGCTTCTATATTTATCAAATCCCACTCTGCAGCTCCAGGCTCCTTGCAGATTACCACAATTACTGAAAGATAAAGATTATCTTGGTTACACACCACAGACTCATCAACCTCTCCAGCAATTCACCTCACAGCATCAGGACCTTTCTTCATCAACACTAACTCCCCACGCTTTTAGGATGAGGAACATACCCTCTGTTTAGACAAAAAATGGACACCAAATCACCTGTGAAAGGTGAAACACATTTTTGCACAGACAACAATCACACCTAAACCTTTTGACTCTCAGCCTGGTTCAGCTGTAGTGTGGCTCTTGGAATGTTTCAGCTGAGGTATATTCTTAAACACATTTACCAGCTTGATATAATGTAACCACAGTGCATGGTTTTTACATGGACTGTAAATACAAGTAGTATAAAACAGTGGCATCAACACTCAGTGCTTGACAGGACCCTTGCTGTGGTGGGTAATTTCTCATCCCCCCTCACCTGCCCCTAAACTCCCTGAGCAGCTGAGAGCCTTCTCCTGTGCCTGCAGGACCTGGTAGCCACGGCTACCCTGCATTCCAGTGGCTCCCTGGAGAACAGCGGGACTGGTTCTGCAGTGGGAGATAAAACATTGAGTGCACAGTGCAGCTTGACAGTGCTATTCTAAATAGTGACTCTAATGGTGCAACAAACTTCTATTCAAGTTTTCAATTCTCTAAAGCTATAGATACTTACATATTGCCTTCTTAATGCACTGCAGACAGCAGTGCAGCACAGGTGGCAAGGAAAATATTCCTAAAATGCCATTATAAAAAGTGCATAAAAAGAACACATGCTGTAAATCCACTTATAAACCACAATACATCTTAATATATCATCTTTGCAGGCCAAAAATGAGAAACAGTGGGTCAGAAAGAGGCTCCAGACTGTTTAGAGCCTACTATCTATATTAATTTTGAACACGGGTTCAATAAGATTTTATAGTTAGAGCTAAAAAAATTCCTCTAAATGCCTACAGCAAACAACTTGTGATAAACTTTGTATTTCAAAGATTCAAAGGTCTTCAGAAAATATGAAGTTTTTTTAAAAAAAAAAGAAGAAGTCAGCCTCTTGATCTCCTACACAATTGACAGCACCTTTGGAAAGAAGAGATTTCGGAGCTGACTTGTTCCATACAACTGGGCCACCAGAACCATCTCAGTCAACATGTCTGACAGGACATGTATTACAAATGTCACCTGTAAAAGGGACATTCCAGACACCCTTTAGCTTTAAGCAGTCCCTTGGCTCAGTCCCCCTTCAGTGTGCAGGTGAAGGACCTGCAGCACGATGTGTGTCAAACACACGGCACCATCGTCAGCTCTGTCCTGCCCTTCTGGAATTGCATCGTCTTTTTCAGACCAATTTTCTCTGAAATATCTGCACAGTGTAAAACTAATAAGCACTGCTTTTATTTCATCATCCAGATAATTAAAACATCGAACTGAACCAGATCAAGGGCAAACTTAAGGACCATTTATTTTGACAGCTAACTAGGTACACCTGAGACAGTCAGAAAATGAAGTGAGACTGGTTCTAATGCTGTAGGTTCATTTTTCCTCGACAGACTTTGGGAACAGCTTTACAGAATCCCAAATATGACATTTTTATCTTTCCCAGTGTCAGAAGAGCTGATGGGGGGCACTTAAGGTGACGCTGCATGGGATGCAAATGTCACTGCTGAGATTGCATTTATGGTGGGGAAACAGCAAATCATCAGAACTACCACGTATTCCCTAAAGATCTTCCTGCACTGCTTCCCACCTACCAGAGAAGGTACAAAGCTCTCCCAAGAGGCAAGTAAAAACTATCTTTTTCTTTCTTAACTTCCCTCACTCCCACCCCACCCCATTCCCCTCATGCCCTTTTATTGTTTAGCAGTATTATACTAATTATCCTCGGAAAATTAAGCTCCAGGAAACTAAGTCCCATTAACAATGGTCTGTAAACTGTGACAAAAGGATTTCCCCCATCTACAGCTCAAGTGTTCATTTCCTTTATGTTGAGAGGGGAGGATGGAAGCATGACCAAAATGCTGGAATGGAAATGTCTGGAGGAAATACATGGAAACTGAACTAGAGGGAAATCATTTCTTGAGTCTGGAGATTAGGACAAGGGGATAATTCTCTTCCCTATGAAGGAAAATGGTTTCATCATTCTCTACCAAGAACTACAGAGAATAAGAGCCTCCAATAAGAGTGTGTAATGAACTCAAACACAAAGACAACTGTTCCTACTCTGTGGTTCTCACTGACACTGTAATTAGTTCAATATTGCTGCATTTCTCAGACCTCACACACAGCTTTCCCTTTAAGCACAGCACTGAGGGTCAGCAGTGCTCCACCTGTCCAGAAATATAAAGAATCCCTGTGCTTCAAAAGGCTCACCAGACTGAGAAGCCCAACTAATTACCAGGAACACTGCTGAGAAGTTTTCTCCATACCCACCCCTTAAAAAAACCCCACCAAAGCTGAGGTAACAGGGCTGGAAAACTCCCTGTCATCATCCTATCACCAATTCAGATACTCCAGCTCTGAAAGCAGAAGGTGGAATAACTAATTTATCTCTAAAAATTGACTTAACATCCACATACATGGAAAGAAGACAACTGATCAGTATCTCCCCTTTGTAAATTAGTAAGCTAAGGGAATGATAAATTAATTGTATTGTTATATTTCAAATTCACACAAAGAGATGTAGCTTTAAAATGTTATTTCTAAAAGAAGTTTAAAGCAGATCTTACCTCAACAGAGCATCGTGGAGTCACAAAGAACTGATTAAATTCATCAGGGCTGAATTCCCCAAAAATATACTAAAAATAAAAGAGAAGGATCTTTGTTAAAGAAGGATTTACATTAAATACAATTAATAAATTCATAATGAAATCTATTAGGATACTACAATTCAAAAAGATCTGTGTGTTGGGAGTCAGAAACTCTGTTTACATCCCAACCCTCATCTTAGTTCCTTCCCAGGTCTTTAGCAAAATACAGCAAGTAAAAAACACAGTTTTCTTACACAAAAAGTGATTTATACACATGCACTTTTATGTGTTTGACTGTTTTAGTGTTTTCAAAAAAATATTAATATAATCTGGTTTAAACTGCAAACAATTCCAACAGTCAAAACAACCTGGAACATCTGTGATACAAAGAGTGAAGTACAGTTAAACATTTAATGCTTTAAAAACTTCCCACAGCCAAGTGCCAACCACCAAGTGAGACAGTCCAACCCCCAAACCCAACACATCCCTAAATTGCACCCGAGTGCCTTCACAGTTCTTGGCACAGGATTTAAGCTTGATTTACACCCTTAATATAACCAAGCCATTTTTATTCAGCAACATATGAGCTAGAATTTATCCTATTGCAACTACACACCTAAGAAAAACACTTGCTGAATCATCACTGTGTTTCAGGAGGTATTTTTGATGCAGTCATGCAACAGAAGAAAACAATCTCAACTGTAAACTATTAAAAGTTATATAAATCCAACTCTAATTCCTCCATGTAATAAGACTAAATTTATCAAGATTTTTAAGCAAGGTATCACAGGCCTGGTACTTCTTTCTGAGCAGAAGAAAATGCTTCTTTTTTAATTAAGGAATGAGACAAAAATTGAACCAGGTGGTCATTAATGCAACCTTAGTGGTTGCAACCTTAATGGAACTGCTTTAATGGTGTATTCACACCGAGAAATGTTGTGGCTGTTTCTGCCAGGACTTTACAAATTTACCAACATCTAACCCAAAAACTAGTCCTAGTCAGACTATAGTGCAAAAGACCCATCCCACTTGGGCCTGAAGAAATCCGTAATTTTATCTGATGTATTTAACAATGCTTTATACAAGCAAACACAAAGTAAACCAAGGAGAAGATCCCCATCAAGTAAACTGAGAAAAATCTTATTTCAAAAGAAACTTCAGTCCATAGGACTGATGCCACTAAACCTACCCAGTTTAACCAATCTCCCTGTCCTCTCCTCATCTCTCATGAAATTATTTCTGCAAACACAACAGAATTTTCTACTCTTTTTAAGACACACTGAAGTGAAAAAGAACCGTGACATCACATCACTTGGCAAGTATAACAATCTCTACCCAAAAAAAGGATCCAGAGGGGGAAAAGCCAATGTATTTTAAGCAATTTAAAAGTGTAGCTCCCTGCCTGCTGTCCATCCATCCATCCTCCATCCCAAGGAATCAGTGGGCCTGGTCTTTACAAATCAGCTATGTAAGAAAATACTTGGCTTGGCTCTAAACAGTATCAGAAAGACCTCACTGCAGTACTTGCCCTGCACCATTAATTCAAATTTAAAGGTTTTGCTGCACCTGAAACACCTAAGTAGGAAACAATTTTAACCAAGAGCACTAGAATTTTATAAAAGCAACACACCCTTACAAGACAATCTCATTATTAGCATGAGCTTTTGGGGTCCTACCTTGTACCCCTGAAATTATTCCACCTAACCTCAAAAGCTTTAAAATTAGCTTTACTCCCAAACAAACAAAATCTAATACTTGGAACAATCAAAGACTTAAATGAATTATTTACACAACTTACACAAGCTACTCACCATCAGCATTAATTCACACCCCACTCTACAAATAACATTTCAACACAGAGATACATCAGCACCCATTAAAACTTTGCCAAACCTGTTTCAGATTATTTCAACTGCAATTTTAATATATTTTCAAGTGTGCATTTGCCTAAGAAACAAACAGACCCATTAGCACTGCATCAAATTGATGCCTTTAAATGCCCAACTAACCTGCCCTGTGCTGTATCAATCTGTAAACTTGTATGGGATGCTGCTTCGACGTCCTAATCACGGGTCATAGATGGACTCCACAAGCTCCAAGGAAAAAGTGGGATCAAACACAGGCTGCTCAGGTCAGCCCTGGTGCAGGTGAGAGCTTGTGCTCAGGGATAAGCTGCTTGTTGTGGGCCATCCCTGGCGTGCCAGGGCTGCAGCAGCCTTCCCCTCACCCCCACAGCTGCCCAGGAGCCATGGACACACAGTGCACGTGGGCACAGCTCAGTTGTCAGGCAGCAACACCCAGGCCTGACACCATCAATAACGCAGAAACTCCAGTACATCTGGCAACATACAACCCAAAAATATTAAAAACCATTACCAGTGAAGAGCTGAGGTTTAACTAAGAGCTCTCCCCAAATTTGGTTTTGAGATAAAATTTAAAAAATCAAGCTTTCTCCAGGCAAAAAAATACTGTTTGGCATTCAATTGCTTATCGCAAAGATTGATTTGGATTTATAGCCTGAGACAAAAACACAGCTGCTTGAAAAGCATGTTAAACAGTAGTCAATGGTGCCAGTGTTCACTCACACAGGAGAGCAGGAACAAAGCTCAGGAGATCCAGTTTCACACCAAGACTAGGTCTGGAAGAGAAACTCCAAGAGAATACTGGGGGAAAGTTTTGAAAATTCCCAATTGTAACACTACCCCCAGACTTACTTTTAAAGATCCATAATCCCTAAGAGGCTTAGTTCAGTCAAACCTGACCTCCCTCTCCTTCCCAATCCATCTGCACAACCCATATAAAAGCTTTTCTGTTCTGGCTGCTGGAAGGAATCTCCTCTCTCTTTTTTGGGAGCACGTATTTCACGCTGCATTTCTCCTGCTCCTCCCCAGATTATTTAATTCTGCAGAGCAATCACTGACCTTGCACTGAGTGTGCTCAAGGGTCCCTTAAGATACCTGGTGAGCTCCATTTCTGCCACAGATTAGGAGCAATAGCAAAACAGTATCACACAAATCTCAATGATTTTCCACTTGCTGCTGTATAAGAAGACCAGGTGGAAAATAATAACTTCCTCGGGGGGGGGATGCAGGAGTGTGTGGAAGAAATGAGGCTTTGTGGAATTCCTGGAGCAGGGGATACATGGGACAACAACTCCACCTTTGCTACCTTTCCACTTTCTGGGCAGTGTTACCAAACTTCTCCTTTGGGGTGGAAAAACAAAAGAGTAAACCCCAAACACACTGATGGATCTATTTAATTTTGCCACTCCCAGCTGTGACCCAATTTGACCATTTGACCAGAGACGGACAATATATTAGTAAACATAATAAAATTACCATGATTTAACTCAAGTGAGTGAACACACACCAACATATCAAATGCTTTCCTTACACTGCACCATCAAAAAATTATGTTTTTCCATCTAGGATCTTCCATATTGAGGTTTAACAATCAATCAGTTAAAAAAGATAATTATTCACAAGGGTTGGTTTCCACCTTGTTTTTTTGAATGCTGGTTTCTACACACACAAGTTCTGTACTTCTGGAGTTTTCAAATGTGAATGTCTTCTTGCAGATGTCACATCTATGAGACCAAGGATGAAATAAAACTAAACAGTGCTTGAATAAACCTTAAGACTGAGATGGTATTAGGTGGGATGGTAGGTGACATACCCAAATCTCTCCTTTCAGATACAGGCACTACAACAGCCAGTACATAAATGAAAAAGTATTTTTTAAAAATGAATGTGAAATAAAGTGTGCTTTCTGCCATACTAAAATGGTATCTCTTCACATGAAGCTGCAGGTGACTTGGGTGCTCCAGTAATTCAGATTTAATTTATTTGCCTTACTTTCACTGATTGAGATTTTGCAATTAAAGTTTGGGCACTGAATTCAAAACATTCTCATACAGCTTTTGGGAGTGCAAAAAAGAAAAGTACAACTACACTTCTGAAAATAATTGAAAGAAGCAGATAGAATTGTAGCTCTGCACTGCTTCCTGTGTGGCTGGAGAGAGGACACCAAAAAACCTGGATCTTTGCTTTCTTCTTGATGAAGCTAAAATTGTAACACTAGAATATTCTACAAATACTCTACAGATGGAATTTTCTTTTTTAAGTATAACACGTTTGCAATATATTTTTTCTATAATAAAGTTAAAACTGTTGAATGAATGAGACTATTACAGCTGGTAATGTGTTTCCAACTGACCACTGAGCTGCTGTCACCAATTTCCACGTTCAGCCTGACATGCTGCAAGGACTCAAGTTTCCCTGTATCCAGTACCTGCCTCCCAACATCAGTTCTCTTTCAAAAGCCACTCATTTTAGAGCAACATCCCAAATCCTGCTGATTGTCAGTCCCTGGTGTTTCCAGTCACAACAGAACTGGAATCAGTTTCTAACTTAATCTCTATAATACGATTACAAGTGTAACATCCAGCTGCATTCCAGCAGAGTCTACACCACTTGGAACAAATTATTTCATCAATGCCATCACCTTTATAGCTTCAAGATATTAACTGCAGATAGATTACAATATAAATTGCACAAAATAAATTAACCAAACAAATCTACACAATAGATTCTGTTTTCTACCACACAGGAATTAAAGTAAAAGCACTTCTATATTTGTGCAATAACTCTGATCACCATAACTGACCAAGCAGCATCTTAACTACACAACAACACAAGTAATTCTAAGGAGGGGCAGGAAAAGACCCCAAAGGATTAAAATGCCCACCCTGCAAGCTCTCCCCATATTGAGTGTTTTTTGCTGTGGTCTCCTTAGCCACTTGAAAAAAGGAGTGCTAATGTTACCCTACTGCCTGTAATGAAATCTCCACTGCTGTTCCAGTCTAGCAATAGGAACGCTGTCCTGGAGGAATAAAAGGAGGGTGAGTACGTGTTCCACAGCTGCTTGTCCTAGAAAAATGGGTAGAAATAGCACTGCTGATGCATCATCCTCCTGGCATCACCTGTGCTGCAGGAATGATAGGAAAATGAAGTGTCAACTTGTGCTTTCAAGAAGCATTAACGTGGCTT